TCTTGTAGTGCAGGGCCTCTTAGGCCGTCAGTCAGCCTCAAAGCAAGTGGTCCTTGCTTTTTCAGCTCCTGCTCATCCATCACCTTCTCTCTGGCCTGACGCAGCCTCGCCCTGAACTGGTACTCGGCCAATTTGCTCACTTCTCCATCATAGCGCGGCACCCCGCTCTTGGCTTCATTGGACCAAACGTCCTCTTGGGCCGCAGTGAAGGTCTGCCATTTGAGGCAGTCCACAATCGACATGGCTCGGAGTCGAAAGTGGCGGTAAAATGAAAGGTCACCTTGAAAAATTGAGGGGATACCAAAGGGAAGGCCTGAGCTAACCAACCGAAAGGAACCCTGGGAGTCTAAGCTCCGCTGCCAATGAGAAAAAAGTGGCAACCCAACAACGAAAGCAAAAAGCGTCGTGACACGGCTTTTCTGCAGTGCGATGTGCTCCATTGCTTGAGCCACGTGTGTGGCATCACGAGCTTGGATCTGCGTACGATCGAATGTCCGGTGCATGTCCATCCTCCGTTTCACAGTATATATATATGGAAAGCCATAGAAACATGTCATGCCTTTGGGTGTTCCCTGGACCTGTAAAGCCCATCTCACCTGGTGTCGATGGGCCACAGGCGACAAAGCTCCGGACGGGGAGAGTCTCAGTGCCAAGCTGGTGCCTCGATGGCTCGATGGTCTCCAAACGTGATGAGACAAGTCAGTCCCTGATGTAGTCAGCCCCTGGTGTGAGCACAGTAACATTTGTCATAGGCATATGCAGCTCAAAGGATCTCAGGTAGCACCCTGGAAACTCAAGCCCGGTTTCACCACCAGTTCCAACATGATCCCAGTCCACACTCATCTTCACCAAGATGCAAAGAAGGAGGTTTGATGGCCTGATGTTGCCGTGCGCCACCTTCAAGTTGGCCAGATAAGCCATAGCACTAGAGCAGCTAATAGCCCAGCTGAAGAGCAAGTCCCTGGCCGCGCCAATGTGTCAGATTCGTTACCATCTTAACCTTGTTGCAAGTGCGATGTTGGCTCATCTTTGTAACGCTGAATGAAGCCGTGGTTGGTGAAAGAGATTGACCTCTGTGCTGCTTGTGTTGTAAAAGTGTCGGGGTCTATGCTCAAGTGGGAATGCCAGCCTTGGAGGTATCCACGGGCGATGGTTGTCCAAACGTTTACTCCTGAAACTGCTTTGCACGCTGCGATCCACATGCAGCTGCACTTCCGTCCTCAGGAATTGTTCCAGGTCTCCACCTGGCATGTACTCCATGACCAGGGCCACCGGGTCTTCATTCATGGTCGCACCATAGAACTTTGCTAAGTGCGGACCTCCAGCAATGACTAAATGGATGTCGGTATGGAAACATTCAGCAGTTCTGAATGGCAGGCAGCTTTCAACACCAAGCGGCATTGATTAGCACTTAACTCGGAGAGCAAGCGTTCGAAGTGCTTCTGGCTGTGTCGATCCAGAAGCTTCTTCTCCTCGATTTCCCATTGTTGTCAGCAGGGCAAAACAACGTCGCTGGGATCTCTAGCTTTGGGTGTTTGTAGACCCACTTAGTGCACAGCGTCCACCACCCCTGTTTTGCAGCTGTGTCACCACACGCTTCGCAACCACCGGCATATCTTTCCACTTTGCATAGACGGAAGGACTGCGCCCGGCACGGGAAGGCTCTGCATCCAACCGCTCGAAGTAGGTGAGATCACCTGCTGCATTTATGGCCATCACATGTTGACTGCCATCACAACATCTTATCACACCCTCGCGCTTCATCCTGCTATATCCTGCTTCCATGAATGTTCAAAGCTGATATGAATCGTCTCGATCATCCTAGATTTCCACAGCCTGCTGCAATTTGCCACTTCGGCGTAACCTCCACTTTAGCAACCTGCAGGTTTGCGAGGCTGGGAAACATCTCGATGGGAACCACAATTTGTCCGCACTTGTCCTCATGAGAACGCTTTGTAAAGGACTGTGCTGTCACTGTCATTCTCAAAGAGTAGCTAAGTAGGCAAACTCTGGCAAAACTGTCAGGCATGCTGGAGAGCCCATAATTGGAAAAGTCAAGCAACTGTTTGGGAACCTACTACCATTTCACCCTTGGCTCTTGCCAATCAATCCAATTCTTTTGAGACTACCCAACACTCCACTCCTTCTGCTTGGAGCGGGGATGAGTGGATGGCGTAAACGAAGCAAGTGCAGATGGAGCAGATGTTGCGGACGGTGCAGACAACGATGACGGAAGGGCAGACTCAGTTGGAAGAGAACCACCGGAAGGTCTTGCAGGTGGACCCAGCGCGGGCACTGCTTGTGCGGACACCACCTGTCGGCCAAAGCCAAGTATCAGAAAAAGAATCCCTGGGTCGGCTCTCAAAAAAAGGTCATGCTTTGACTGGGTCTGAGGTGCTTTCGAAGTATTTTAAACTGGTTGCATGGTGAACACAGTGCGAAATTACATTAGGCTCACAAGGAAGGCCGGCCTCAGGCAGCTCCAAGGGTGGCAAGCGTGCCAGAAGCGGCATCTTTGGCCGCCCCTCATGTTCGGTCAAATAATGCAGCTGCTCCAGTGCCTCCACTGCAAAGCTGGGCTCCAAGCAGCTGCCTCAAGCAAAGCTCCAAGCTCAAACTACGTCTTCCAAGTGAAGATTTACAGGTCTGACTGAAGGGTCATTGCAATGCCAAAATGTCTCAGCTGTCGTCGCTCTATACATATATATATATACACAATAGCTGTGCATTCCAAAGCTTTAGGTTCATACTCGAGACATGCAAAAAAAAAGCCTGCCTATCATGACCGGCAGCTGCCACTTCTCCAGCCGTGACACTAAAGCCTTCGCCTCCTGACAAGTTGGCAACTGCCAAGACCTTCTGGATGAGGTTTAAAGAAACGCCTCCATACGCCTCCCTTGCAATAGGATTTACCATGGATAAAGCGGGTGGTGGCAAGTTGGTTTTTTCAGTTGTGCACAAAAGTGCAAAATTGACTTCTCGTGGCAGCTCATGTGGGCAATCAGCTCGGGCCTGCGGGTCCCTGTCACTCTTGGCCCCAATAAAAAGGAAAGGTGCCTGGACGTCGGTAAACGCAAACGTCACAGATTCGTGAGCTTACATGAATGCTGGGTCGGAAGTTGCATTGTCTTATTCTAAACTCATTCATGGCTTTGCTGTGAGCAAGTTGTCGGTGGGGCTCTTGTCAAAAACGTTGTGGAGGTATTATCGAGGAAGTAAAGCAGGTTCTCATGGTCGTTGGAGGAGCCCTCAAGCCCAGTAGAATAACCTGATGCTTGGTCAAAAGCTGAAGGACACTCAACAAACTCAAGTGTAGAGGCAGTAGGAGAAGCTGAAGTAGCAACACACAGGAAGGTCGATAACGTCGGGATCATCCTTAGCCTTTGAACATGTGGCGTCTAATATGTCTGACTTTCCGTGCCTTTTCAGCACAATGGTACCGTGCCACATGCAGCCAGTGGAGTAAAACTTCATCCACAGTTGCTCGCCTTGGCAAGGGTACAGAAGAAGGACCAAACTACAGCCTGCAAGAATTGAATATACAAGCCCAAAGCACACATAACAGTTTGGAAGCGTTGAGTCTTGGTTCATGTTCATGTCCTTGTGCTGTTGTGAATGCATCGAAAATAAGCAGCACCGCACCCAAGTGCCTGGTACAGTCCATGATAAACATTACTGCGTCACATCCACGATCAAAGTGAGCCCTTAGCAGCAAGAAACTTGTCTCCCTCACAGTTTTCGTATGACTTCTCTCAAGCATACCAGCTGGGACTGTAATGTGCTCCTGAGATTGAGCACAGTTGCAGTAGATTGTCCTATGGTCTTTGAAGTGTTTCTCTAATCAATCTATACTCATCAAACCTCTGTGGAGGAAGCCTATGACATGACTAGGAAGCCCAGAGGCAACTCGTACTCACCCTCTGAGATTTGCCAAGCATCTCAGGATCCAAAGTCAATTCCCAGGTGGGTGTCTCCCAAAGGTCCACACGTAGACCAGTCTCAAGCCATACTTTGTGGCACCTGATACCGGATCGGATTTGAAAGGATGAGAGTCCTGGAGTCGTTCACCAGAGAAAGTAGAAACTGTTTTTGTTTAAATCAAGGTTGATTGGTGGATATTGAATGATATTGATGGTAAAGAGTAGTATATAGATGAAAGCCAAAATCTGAAGTTGAGGGATTCCGCTAAGGCGCTGGGTGCTTAGTGTCGGGGCAGACGGCCATGGACCTTCCTGGGAAGGATGGACACAGCAAAACCAAGTTTGGTAACTCAAACCTTTGAGTTTCAAGCAAAGCAAAGCACAATCAAGAGTGTCTGAGTGTCTAAATTCAATCTGAATGCAATGTTTCTCGATGACATCTAGATGCAAAAGTTCTGATATTGAGACGGTCCCTTTTGAGCGACGGATCGCCTTGGAGCGTGCACTCGCGCTGTGTGCGAATGAGGTCTTGCCGGTGCCTGAAACAAAGTATCATGCAAAGTAGCATTCTTGCTCCTAGTAGCGATGCCCTTTGTTGCTAGTAGTGTCCTTGCTATTAGTAGTAAGGCCCGAAGCTACCTGTAGCGTCCTTGCTCCTCCCAAAGTTTGCCCAGCCTCTGCACCCAACCATTGCAACACTGAGCAATTCCTCATCCATTGTGTCATCCGATCTCTGTTGCACTTTGCTTTGACAGCTTGTGTTCCTTGTCTGATCCCCTCGATATTGCCCTCTTCGCCCAAGTTCTCAACTACTGTCATTCATGTGCGGTCTCTTGATGCTTCAGTTCAGCGGAATGCAAATCACCTTTTCTGCTAAAATAGACTCGCCAAGCTGGCTGCATGTTATCAGGCTTGAGCCAAAGAACGAATCCAAAGTATATACGTAAACTTCCGAAGCTTTCGGCATATGGAGGCAAATGCGGAAACTGAATGCTACACAAACATACTAGTAGCGTCCTTGCTCCTAGTGGCGATGCCCTTTGCGTCAATCAAAATGGTCTTTCTGAAGCTTGATCTTGCCTCTTCCCGTGCAGCAGGCGCGCCATCGCAGCATGCTGCACCACCCCAACACCCGCCCGGGCAACACCTTGGGGATAATTGTTCACTTTTTATCTCAAAAAGCAACACAACAAGCCGTTCTTATGGTCAATGCCTGAAGCATCCATTTTCAAGCCTGTGTGTGCAGCTGCATGAATGCAGCTGAGAGGCTAAAAATCAAGAGACCAGCAGTCAAAACCGCTTGTGACCTAAGTATTGAACTGACAACTTTGGAGCGGCTTGATGCATGTCCGTGCCCCTTCTGGTCGGGAAGCCGGCTTTGTGCCAAGTAGCTCGAGGGCTGGACTGTCGGAGTCCACCTTGGACAGTTTGTCAAAGTGGAGCCCCAAACTGGGTTGGAGGCCATGGCTATTAGTAACAAGGGCATCGCTACTGGTAGCAAGGACGCTACTAGGGCCTAGGGCATTACTACTAGTAGCAAGAAACTACTAGGTTGGAGGCCATCGTTATTAGGTTGGAGGCCATTGCTGAAGTACTCCAACCACAATGTGCCGATGCATTTCAAGTCACCATGGCAATGCCCAGCGCTAACACAAGCTGGCCCAGGAAATCGCCTAGCGGCACCAAGACCTGTACGAGGCCTGGGTGGCGACGAGACAACAAGCCCCCTTGCAAGCTGTGCAGACAAACCTCCTTAGAGAGAATCAAAAGCCAACGCTCATGGACTCATGGATATTCACATCTCCGCATATCACCATATTATACAGTTTGAATGAATCATGTGTCTCTTTGCCAGACCTTCTTTTTCTTCTTGCGTTCATTCTGCGGTTTCCTCTTCGAATGCCCCCATCGGCCAGGTTCCCACACGCTCCGACCATGTGTATGCCACGCCCCAGAGCACCGGCGCAACGATGGCCCCCAACTGTGGTGACGCAGCCACAAAGGAGTACCTCGATGGCCAAGTCTCAGCTTGTTGGGACTGGGAGGACAAGTCAAAAACGCTAAGCATTTCATGCTGGCATGAGCTGAAGTGCAGAAAACATCTGTCCAAATACATTTTAGGTGTTCATTAGGTTTTCAGTGCGTTCAATACCAATCAAGTATATCAAAGCACACCGAATCTCACCATTTGTATCAAGAAATCCATCATTTGCCCAGTTGCACCAATGGCGACATGCCCTGCGAAGGCAATGAAGGGACTTCACTTCACAAGTTACAGGTGGTATTATCACCTACATCAAGTTTCTGGGAGGCTCAAAGAAAAACAACTATAACACCGGAGTCTCATTGAAATCCGATCGGTACTATATATATAAATGAGGACAATCTCTGAGACAACTGAGGACAGGCCGAACTTTGCCTCGCAAGGAAACCGCATGCTTGGTGTGTCTGGCAACTCTACAATTCCTCTGGAGTTGTTGTCGTTCAAAGTTCTGATTCATAAATGATTGAGAAGGGCCGTTGCAGTGGCTGGCAACCATAGCTCTTGTCTTCAAAAGTACAGTAATGACCTCCACGGCCATCAAAAAAATATGCCGCAATAATTGTTGTTGTGGTGGGCGGCCGCAGCCCCAGCCCCTGCCTTGGACAGCGACGTAAACAGCAGGACAACAGAAAGACCAAAAGAGGACATGAGGAGGACAAGAGAGGACAAAAGGATGAGGGAAGGAAAAAGGTATGAACACGCCAAGGACAAAAGAAGGCCAAGCTCTGACCGGACAGTGCCAAAAGGACAACCGGGCAACATGAGGGGAGCACACCAAGAGGAGAATGGAGAACAAGAGGAGAAGAGGAAGAGAGGACAAAAGAAACCAACAAGATGATGGGAGGAGTACGGCTGGAGAAAGGCTGGGAGCCACAGCCGATGAACACCTGAAGAAGGACAACAAGAAGGCAATAGCAGAACATGGGGAGGACAGGACCGAAAAGACTTGTGACATGAGGAGAAGAGAAGGACATCCGGACAGGGCTCGCCGGCGCGGCCTGACACTGTGGCCAGCGCAAGAAGAGGACAACAGGAGGACAAGGGTCGGCTTCTGGGGTGGCTTTCTGGAGTTGTCTTTCAAGAGCAGAACAAGAGGAGAGCAAGAGAAGGACAAGCTCCGGATCCAGTGTTCAGGGGCGGCCAAGGAGGGCAAGGGAAGGACAAGAGGTGGACAAGACGAGGACAAGAGAAGGACAAGAGGAGGACAAGACCTGGACACAGAGCCCAGACACAAAGCCCGGACACGGAGTTCAGGGCCGCGGCCAGACAGTGTGGCCAGCTCTTTTTTCCTAAGAGAGAACCCCAACAGTAAACTGTTTGGGGAAAATAGCAACAACAATGTACTGTATTTTAAAACAAATACAAGCCTCTTCTTCCAGGAATGGTGCAGCGGGCGCTAATGCATTTTTGCTGCTGTGGGATCCTGCAAATGACCAAGATCTCATCTCCCTTCAAGCTAGCAGCGCAGATAACACGACTGCAAATGCTGCTCCTAGCCCAATCAGCAGCACAAGCAGCACGCAGGGGACGTCTGCACCTGACGCTTCTCTTGCTGGTGCAGCATCAAAGCACTTCCACGATAGCACACCTTGTGACCAGCAGTGAGTTTCGCAGCCATCTTCTGAATCTGAATCGCTCCAGAATCGCATTAGGCGCAGTGAGAAGTGCTAGTGCTTGAAGGTGACTAGAATCTGACTTTTTCAAGCATGCGAGTCAATCATGCCAACAGGAATCAAACGTGCCAACAGGAAGCCTCGTCTCACTTACCAATAACTTTTCTCTCTCCATTCGAAGGCACCGGGGCCCTTCTTGTCAAACATGATCGGGTGCCTTTCAAAAAGTTCTTTTCTGAGCCACGAAGTGCACGGAGCTTCACTGTCACTGATCAAGAAAGTTCCTACCGTCCGTCTTACATCATCGAACACTTTGCTGAGTGCTTGGACTAAAGTAAGGCCTCTACATAAGGATTCAATGAACGTGCGAGACAAAAGACCCGAAAAACTGTCGCTCCACATTCACCTCACTGCTCCCCTGATACTTTTCACAAGCCTGGGCCGCCTATCATTCTGGCGGTAAGAAGTACTATGGATAGCCAGCGCAGAACTAGTGAAAGTGAATTATAGCTATGGCACATGAGTTATATCTACAGCATGCCCTCTTACCAAACTGTTCAAGTCCTCCAGACTGTGTAAGCCTTGGACTTGGCGCTTCAAAGGGGAAAGACCACACCACTCCTCAAACTTGGCACATGGAAGACATACATAGACAGTTCCTCACACACGAAGACGAAGCGGCATACAATGAGAATAGTTGACTTGGAGCCCTTGTGTCCTTGATCACACCGAGGACTTCTTCGTCAGGAGCATCCTGGTAGCTGTAAAACAGCTGCTGCAAATATCTGTCTCATATTCTGCCTTGTCGGAGCAATTAACTGTGACTCGGGCTTGAACTCCCTGTTCTGTTTGCGGTGTAGAATCAGAACTCCTAGATCCCGTTTCTGTAATTGCACATTGTATCGGTCTGATCCGCCAGGCAGGCTATGCCTTGCCCAAGAAGAGGCCGAGGAAGATCAGGAATGGTGATGGAAGACGTGCATTGTCCAGCCTCGGGATGTCATAACAACATGAGAAATGCACAACGGTTCTGCTGGGAGCATCTCCTACTCTTAGAAAGGAGATGTGCCCCATGAGTAGCTGAATAGTGTGCTAGTCACACAGTGGGTAGGTGCCTTTTTCGAATCACCTGAGCGGCAGCACCCCAACCGCCGCAGCAGTGCACAGTGAGGCCTCGTGAAAATTGCTCAATGCAGTCACCCACAACGTCATCCAAGTCACTTCAGCTCTTGACATGTTTGATTTTTTTAAAGCAATGCCTCCAACCTATATAATAGCAATGGCCTCCAACCTAATAGGAATGGCCTCCAACCTAATATCAATGGCCTCCAACCTAATGGCGATGACCTCCAACCTAATAGCAATGGCCTCCAAACTGCTTTTGGTGGACAGAAAAGGTGTGGAAGGAATACTGGCTGCATCCATCAATAGACTTCAGTCCCATAAGGCCAGATCTTGGAGCTTGCTGTGGCCTGGCGGAAGGATCCCCAAGCTGACTCCGAGGGAAGTACAGTGGGAATACACCAAAACTCGTGGCTCCCTTGGTTTAAGTATGACTCACAGCCCGGAAGAATGAAGGTGCAATCGTGTCACAAAGAATGGACACGCAGCTGCCAAAGAACAAACAGGCACAGTCTCTAGAAACAACTTGACAATGCACGCACTCAGCAATTCTCTGCACTTTGCGCCAAGTGAACACCTTGTATGTTTACTGTTTACCTCGGTCCTGCAGCAGATCTCTTGGCCACAGCACTTCCCTGTTTGTTGGCAATAAAGTGTGCTGCGAGATAAGAGCGGCATCTGTTGAAATGTGACCTGAATTGTGCCTCAAATCAACCGTGCTGTACCTTCGTCATTGGGATTCTTCCTCCCCGTTGCCTGCAGAGTAAATACAGCTGCAAAGTCTACGTGCAAGGCGGCTCCCCCAAAGAGGTTGGCTTGGTTGATCGCAATGATCCGTTCCCTCAAAACCTAGGAACCACTTCGTACTATATAGTACAGCAAGGGATCTTCGGCTTGTCTGCTAGTTTCCAACGAATAAGCTCAGGATTCCTACCTTAGATGCCTACCCACCCCACGACTCCACGACCTACCCTGATTCCGCTACAATAGAAATAATGAGAATCTATCTACTGTATGTACATGTAAAGAAGGCAAAGAAAAAGAAGAAGGAGAAAACACGGCAGCGCCGTTACAAATGTTCCAGCTGTGAAAGAGAAAGCTGCGGCCTGAGATGTTGCCACTGAACCTGTTGAGCCTGCCAATGTTGAAACTGGTCTCTTGGGCTGAAAAAGAAGGTTGCCCCTGTCTTCCTCATGAACTGATTAAGGGAATTAAGGGGTTCATTCTTGTCAGATTGTGAAACAGCCTTTCTCAAGCAGCTCTGCCCTCTCCGAGATCATCTTGTCGATTTCCTGATGGATGCTCTTGGGGACTTTAGTCAAGGAAGTCCAAATTTCTCGACCAACTAAACGCTCTGAATACAAGCAGTGCTGTGCGCACTTCAGCCAATTTGAGAGACCTGTGCACCACACAAGTGGCACACTAACAACACCAACACACAACACTGCAGAGTGTCCGCTCCTCCCGGAGGTGCACCAGCCCTGGATCTGTGGAAGGCCTCAGTGAAACTAATTGAATCCGATTCGTGTTTGACTTCAACGAATCCTATGTTCTTCTTTGTTACTAGTAGCGATGCCCTTGCGGTCAGCAGCTACTAGTAGCCTCCTTGCTCCTGTTGAATTACTTTGATATGTTAATGAATGTTAATGCAACTTTCTAGTAAGAACACCGCAACGGTCACAACGGATGAACTCGCGCATGCGATGAATAAGTTTGGCATGAGTATGATATGACTGCAACTGATATGCTTCCAGTCGCGAAATGCCCTCAGGTCCCAGCCCAAGCCGCTGGCGCATGCTGAGAAGGTTTTTGGCCTACTTGGCAAACAGGGAGAAGCACTGGCATCATCAGCATCCATTCATTGTCTTCGTACATCTTTGGAATCTCGCAAAATAGCACAACTCTACTAGAGCCCTAAACTGCCTCTCCATCAGCAATCAGAAGTTCCCAGCGACCTTCGATCTCAGCCTGTGAGTGACAGGTCAAGAAGGTTGAAAGAAGCCTCTAGACAATCACAAAAGTATCGAAAACCATGTAGCTGAGAGAGACTGCTCTCTGTGAAAGTTCCTCTCTCTCTCTCTCTCCCTCTCTCGCTCGCTCTCTCTCTCTCTCTCTCTCGCTCTGTGAAACACTTGCCATTTCGATGTGTATCATGTAATCCCAAGGTCCACATACTGGAACAAAATAAAACAGCCTTGGCTGCAGCCGACTTGGAGGCTTTGAATTGTGACCAGGTAACTCGCTGAGGAACCTGCACAAAGTGTCAACACATGACACATAGAGGTACTGCTCTTGCAAACTCAAGGTATCTAATTTTGGTGAAGGACTTGTTGATTAGCCCCGTCTGCGGCGCACCCCACCACGCCGTCGCGTGCCTTGATTCGAAAGTGGAATCTCCCTTCGCAACCGTTGTCTCTCATTTCACAAGTCACAAACTGCGAACTTCTAAGTGCAGTTTGAAGAAGATGAAACACCGTTTTTGTGGGTGTTCAAGCGTGACCTCCTCTCGGTAAGTAGTTTCCCACATCCACCTGAGGCTTTGGCCCTGACTCTCCATGACCCTTCGAAGCACACGCGACATCAGGGGACTTGTAACTTGTAAAGCCACAAATCTCACATCTCTTGAGTGATACGTTGAAGTTGACAAGCTGCATATAGCACAAATGGAAAAAGGATCGCAATGTCGGCTACAATGCGCAACAAATGACGACCCATATCAAAAGTTCAAGTGCCCGCCTGGCACAGCCTTCGAAGAACCAGACTCAGCCACGAGCACCGGGAAACTAAGCTGAAATCTGGCTTGAAATGGGCAATGGCAGTGGCCATGGAGTTCTGCTTGTATGCACACAACACAAATGCCTGTTGACAAACAAACATGTAAACAGCCTGCAGTGCCTGCAAATACCATATTGCGGGACGCAAGAAAAATGTTCTAAAGCGTTGCTTGTTTGACGGGAGTCTTTGAAGACCACTCACATATTGCTCGACATAATGAATCGGATATCATTTAGATTTTGAAGCTCAAGACCTTGCATCCTTCAAGTGACTCAAAGCTCCTTCAGAGCTGTTTGACACAAGCTACATACATAAGGCTTAAGGAAAGGAGGATGCGAGTTTGACCCGTCTCTTCCGCTGAAATCCGAAAATTTGGCACGTGTACGTCGCAAATCTGCAGCACGGGCAAAGAACATGCATTGCATTCCGGAAGCTACTGACTGCGCTTCAATGAAGTGAACTCTGTGAAACACTTCTGCGTGCAAGAAAGCTTTACGTGAACCACACCTTTCAAGTCCTTTGTCATGCAATCTTTTCACAGGTACTCTCAGGTGATAATTGATAAATACCCTGCAAAAGTGGTAATCGCAAAGCTGTTTACAACCACCCCCTGAAAACGCACTGTCACTATTCAAAAATTATTCTTATTGAACCGAGCCGTCCTTCCATTCTTAGGTTAGCAAATAAGAACAAGATCAAGAACAACGGTTTGAAAAGCTTACAAGGTACCCCTTACAAGGCCTGGTCCCCCCATGTTATCGTGCATGCCACTGCAATTTAAACCGAGCCTTCCTGTCATCTCCTGGTTTGCTGCCTTTCAATGTCCCCAAATAGTTATATACTTGCGGTTATAATGTGTGTACATATATATATATATGGCCTCTCCAAAGCCTTTCTAGACCATCTGGACCTTCCCTGGGTTCTGAATGCGCTGATATGAAAAAGGCTCTCCAACCACTGCTGAGCATCTGCTGAGTATGCTCTTTCCACCTGCCTGGTTCACCGTTGTTTCACCTCCACTGCACCCCTCTACATCGACTGCGAGCGTGGCCGACCAAAGCGTGGCCGCTCAAAGCAAGGCTGCTCAGTGGCATAGGGCAAGTTCATGAGTCCCAACTCCTCTGCACCTGAATCCAACCCATGTGGTCCAAGGAAGTCTG